CTCTGTCTCAGTAACCAACTAGGTGAGAAGGGGGCCTGTCTTTGCGGGTGTGAAGGGCAGGGCCCTCCTTCATCCCAACAGGCACAAGTATGTGCGTCTCTCATCTCCATCTTGGCCAGCTAGGAGAGAATGGGGGAACGGTGTCCTAGCAGGTGTGAAGTGCATAGCCCTCCAAGGTGTGAGAGTGAGTACATCTTGGTAGCCAACTAGGGGAAAAGGCGACCAGCCAGGTGAAAAAAGGGACCTATATCCCCACAAGGTGTGAGAGGGGCTGTGGCCTGCCTTACCCCAGGTGAGCCTTCAGGCATACGTGGGCATGTCTCATCTCCATCTTGGTGACCAACCTGGGGAGAAAGGGATGTGTCTCTGCCTCAGCGCAGGAGCTCCAGGTGAGCCCCACCTGCAGCTCAGTGACCAAGGAGGGAGGAAAGGGGGAGTGCCCCCCTGCAAGTTGGGTGGGGGGCTTGCCCTGCCTCCCACCTGCTGGTCCTCCAGTAGGAGTGGGCACCTCCCCTCCTCCATCTCCCTGGCCAACTGGGCACGCAGGGGGCTCCAGGTAGTGTCCCTGCCTCAGCACAGGAGCGCCAGGTGTGTCCCAACTGCACCTCAGGGACTAGGAAGGAAAGGGGGGGTGCCCCCTTGCAAGTTGGGTGGGGGGCTTGCCCTGCCTCCCACCTGCTGGTCCTCCAAGCAGGAGTGGGCGCCTTCCCTCCCTCCATCTCCCTGGCCAACTGGGCGCGCAGGGGGCTCCAGGCGCGCCTGGCTCAGGTGCGCCCCGCTCAGGTGGGCGTCTCCAGGGGGATGACGCGAGGCCCTCCGCCCCCAGGGTAGGCTAGGGTAGGGGGGTCTCCCTCCCCGGCCCAGGGCTGCTGCAGGGGCGGATGGCGCCGGAGGCCCCCCGGCGCAAGTGGGGCCGGTGCGGGTGCGCGCTGGGGCTGGCGCTCTTCTTCGACGCGCTGGGCTTGGCGGGGCTGCTGGTGGGCAGCTTGCTGGACTCGTCCGTCTCCGACCTGCTCATCTACCTGGGCGGCGTGGGCGTCTTCTTCAGCCTGCCCTGGTGGGTCTTCTGGCACGTGGGCAACCTGGAGGTGCCGCCCGACGAGCTGCGGGACGACGTGGGGCTGGGCTCCCGAAGCGGCGACGCCTGGAGCCTGGAGAGCTGGCGCGCCCGGCGCCTGGCTCTCCTCGCCCGCGCCTTCAGCACCCACTTCTCGTTGCCCTCCGCCATCGCCTCCTCCTCCGTCCCGTCCCAGGCCGGCCGCCTCCGCGCCCACTTCGCCGCCTCCAGCATCAGCACCAGCACCGGCGGCGGCCCCGACGAGACGGAGAAGCTGCAGCAGCCGTCCCAGCAATCCCAGCCCTCCCAGCCCTCCCAGGACGGGGCATCCGATCCGGGCCTTGCAAGAGCCAGCACGCCCCCGTCCCTGCCCACCGTCTCCCTTTCCAACGTCGGCACAATAACCCTGCAGGGTAGGTCATAATGACTGGCTGTTTGGCTACTTGGAGAGAGTCGGGCTTTGCCCAGGGCGCTCAGCTCTGGCTGCGCATCAAAGAATCGCTTAAGTTAAAGGACTTAAGAAAAACTACGCAAAAGAGTCAGTGTAGTGGTGTAGGATAAGAGCCCAGGCTGGAATGGAATAGAATTAGAATTATTAGAATTGGAAGAGGAATAGAACAGAACAGAAAATAGAATAGAGAATAGAATAGAAAGTAGAATAGAGAATAGAAAGTAGAATAGAATAGAATAGAATAGAATATATGGGATGGAATAGAATAGAAATAGAATAGAACAGAACAGAATATATGGGATGGGATAGAATAGAATAGAATAGAATAGAATAGAATAGAATAGAAAGGAGAGGAGAGGAGAGGAGAGGAGAGGAGAGTAGAATCTGGAAAGGACCATGGAGGTCTTCTAGTCCAACCTATACCATTTCAGACAAATGGTAGAAGGCAGATGTGAATTCTAGTCCTGCCTTAGGCATGAAAGCCAGTTGGGTGGCCCATCACCAGGAGATGATGAGTTCTAGTTCCACTTTAACCATGAAAGCCAGCTGGGTGACTTTGGGCCAGTCCCTGGCTCTCAGCCCAACCCACCTCACAGGGTTGATCTTGTGGAGAAAATAGCAGGAAGAAGGAATATTAGGAATGCCTTGGGTTATTTACAAAAATGATAAAGGCGGGATTAAAAATCTCCTAAATGTCGAAGAGGGGTCAGTTTGTAGCAGACCACTCCTGCGTTTGAACTCTGGAGCCTCGTCCAAGCCTCTCCCACTTTGTCCATTTCATAACTACTTTACTAAGGCAACGTTCCAAGAAGAGTAGTAGAAATAACCTGTGCAATTTGTTTTCTTTTCCAGGTTTGATTGGAAGCTTTAATTCGTGGAAAGATCGTGGAAAACAAGACTCCTCAAAGTCACTGGATACCACAAAATGACAGAAACATACCTTCTCTGACACAGTTTATAACACCCGGGAAACACTATTTATGCCTTCAAGAGACAGTCGAACTGCATCATAAAAGGACTGTGCTCAGTTACTGAAGTGAAAGTTAATTTATGGGCCTGGACAAGGTTGATGTCCATTATATAATAGATGGACCAGCATTAGGGCTTCCGAACTTAAAAATTTTATAGTAAACATATTCACCAAATTGTCAAAGCACTCATCATTTTGAAGCTAAAAATAAAAAAAAATCTATAAAACTCCCTTCGGTGCCCAACAACACATCTTAAAAATAAATAAAACGTTTTACTGACTGTTGAGTCACCCTGAGACTTGGATCCAAATGGAAGGGGGTTGAAAGTAGATCCCCTTGGAATCCACTGACCTCTGAGATCCATACTTGACTTGTACTTTGCCTTTTTAAGGGAAACTTAAAACCAGCGACTTTAAACCATCCAGCCCGTGGGAAACTTTTGACGACTTGCAATACATTGCATTGATTTGTAAAAATATACCTAGCCTTTTTAAAAAAAAAAAAAAAACCTGGTCTAAAAATAACCAAAAGAAAGTTTTAAAAAATGCAATACCGTGGAAAATTTGAAGTTTTTGACTATTTGCAACCTATTGCATTTATTTCCGAAAGAAAAAGCCGCCTTCTTTTTTGTGTGTGTGGAAAGCGTAAACATTAACTCCCCTATTGAATACTGTACAATCCCTGCACAATCCCTCCGCTCGTTTCTGCGCAGGCGCACCAGAGATTCCTGCAAACGCGGCGTTCGATCGCGAGCCGGAAGAGGCGGCGCGCCTGGCCTCTCTCCTTCAGGAGCGGAGCGGAAGTGGCCTTTCGCTTCCGGTGCCGGGCGGAAGCCGCTGTGGCTGCGTGCGCACCGGGTTCTCTACGCTCGGGGAGCATGAGGGGCAAGAGGCGGCGGCGCTGGCGGAGGTTTGGCGAGGCGAGGACGGAGCGCGGCTGAGCCGGCGGAGCTGCCGAGCGGGGAGAGGAGGTGCGGGCCGCAAGGGAGGGGGAAGGGCTCGGGGGGGGGTCTTTCGCTCTCCCCCTTCTGTGTCCTCTGCTTCACAACAGCCTTGTGAGGTAGGCCAGACCGAGGAGTCCTGTCTTCTACGTGGCTCTGGGCGAAGGGATTTTGTTGGCCCTCCAGGGCCGAGGCTCGGAGGGTAGATTCTCCTGCCAGAACGAGGCCCTGGTTCCACTACAAGTCCCATTATCCCCAGCACCACGGTTGTATTGGGCTGCAGGATGCGGAGAGTTGCAGTCCTCGACTGGGGTGGAGCAAAGCAGGATAGATAATGATAGAGATTATAGATAGATGATCGATTGATTGATAGATAGATTGATAGAAATGAGAGACATAATGATAGATGTTATAGATGGCTAGGTAGGTAAGTAGGTAGGTAGGTAGATACATAGATTAGAGGTGATAGATAGAAATGAGAGAGACATAATGATAGAGGTTATAGATGGGTAGGTAGGTAGGTAGGTAGGTAGATAGATAGATAGATAGATAGATAGATAGATAGATAGATAGATAGATAGATAGATAGATACAAATGAAAGAGAGAGAGATGATGGATGGATGGATGATAGGGATGGATGGATACAGATAGATGTAATAGATATAGATATATATAGTCACACCGCTGATTGATTTCACACATTGTGTTAGAAAGGCAGAATGTAATTAATTTGATTTCCACAATGTTGTTATTGGATTGATAGACGCAAAGATTTAATACAGGTTCACGGCTGCTCATCTTGCAAGTGGAAAGCAGTGAGAATTAAAAGCCATTCAAATGAAATAAAGGTAGCAGATGGGAATACTCAGAAACCCTCCAACTAGCCTTGATGCAGGTCTCCCACTGGCCAGTCCTGAATATTTCTGAATGCATCCTCCAACAAGCCCTCCTTGTCACAGGAGCATCTCAACAAGGAAAAAAAAAGGCTGTCATAAAGCCTGAACCCAAGATCAATTGGCTTACACCTTGGTAGCTGTACCCTGTCCTGACTTGTTGACAACAATTGCAGTTTGTGGGCTTCAGATAACGGCTTTAAGCCGGACTAACCAAGCTGTGCTAAATGGGTCGTGTGTTAAAGCTCTAGTGGGCTAGTAAGTTCAGCCAGGAGATGGTAAGTTCTAGTCCTGCCTTAGGCACGAGCCAGGCGTGTGACTTTGGGACACCAGGAGACTGTAAGTTTTAGTCCCACTGGAAGCATGAAAGCAGGCTGGGTGACTTTAGATCAATCACCAGGAGACACTGAGTTATAGTCCTGCCTTAGGCACCAAAGCCAGCTGGGGGACTTTATGCAATCCTTATTTCACAGCCCACTTCACCTCACAAAGTAGTTATTCTTAGGAAAAAATAGGATTGCGTTTATTCACTGCTTTGAGTTATTTATAAAACGAATACAAGCAGGATATAAATAAGTACCTAAATAACAGTGGTTGGTTATCATAGTGGATTCATCAAAATCAAATGTTTTCCCCTGTAATGGTCATATGCCAAACTTACATCGCAATTTTTTAGGATTTTCTGACATGTTGGCTGAGGATGAATTTCTGAGATCGCCACCAAGGAAGACGGTCAGATTCGGTGGTACTTTGGCAGAGATTCTACTGAAGTATCAACAGGTAATGCTGTGGGCAGTGCCTGCAAGGAAAAATACATCAGATGAATGGGATGCATGCATAACATTTTCTGTTTTTAATACTGATGGGTTCACCCACAAGGGTTTTTTTATTTTATTTTTCTCTGCTGCCGAGGGAATTATTACTATATCTGGAAAGAGGATTTCTGGAGTTCTTTAGTGAAAAGCTGCCGTTTTCTCTTTCAGGGCAAAACCACTGAGTTTGATTTGCTGAAGCATCAGCTGTTGGATCCAGACATAAAAGTAAGATTTCCATAATATTCAAATACTCTGAAATACCTTCTTTAGATTTAAGAAAAGAATGAAATAATTAATCTGAATTTTTTTTTTAGTATTCTTTATGTGTTATAGTGTATAATTAGTGAGCAGAATATTACCCAAACACAGCTCGAATGTGAATAAAATAAAATATTACACACTGTTCTTAAATCCGCCATTGTTTGCCAGGTTTAACGATCATAAGTTTACTCAATACTGTCATATGTCAGTTATGTTGGGAAAACTATATTACCCAGTGCTCCTTGCCTCTTGCAAATAGTCATCCTAGTACGGCAGACATTTCTGCTGAGAGGAACTACATCTCATTTTCCTCTCTATGGCAAAATAATAATAATAAAGTTGGAAGGGACCTTGAAGGTTATTTAGTCCAACCCCCTGTTCAGGCAGGAAACCCTATACCATTTCAAACAAATGGCTGTCCAGTCTCTTCTTAAAAACTTCCAGTGTTGGAGCATTCACCGTTTCTGGAGGCAGGTTGTTCCACTGGTTAATTGTTCTAACTGTCAGGAAGTTTCTCCTTAGTTCTAAGTTGCTTCTCTCCTTGATTAGTGTCCATCCGTTGCTTCTTGTCCTGCCTTCAGGCGCTTTGGAAAATAGCTTGACTCCCTCTTCTTTGTGGCAGCCCCTCAGATATTGGAAGACTGCTATCATGTCCCCCCTCGTTCTTCTCTTCATTAAAGTAGACATACCCAATTCCAACAACAGTTAATAGTAATTAATAGTAACAATATGATAACATGTTTTAGATGCATACGCTAGGGGGGGGGTCTAATTTATTGGGTCTCTTTGAACATCCAACTAGACTACACAAATGCTTGGTTTCTCACATTCTGCCTTTAATGGAGGAAGCTGGCAAACAGATTTCCTGGGAAAGTGTAGTACAAAACTCTTTAACTACAAATATTTGTTTTGCTCAGGGTTGAACTGTTGAGGTCCTTGATGCTCTCTGAGCTTGGTCGTTTTCTTGCAGACATTTTATTACCCAATTAGATAACATCAGTGCTAAAAGGGAGACAAAGAGCAAATCTCACTCCTAGCACTGATGATGTTACCTAGTTGGGTAATGAAATGTCTTCAGGAAAACAGCCAAGCTCAGAGAGCACCAAACACCCCACAAAACTTTCAACTCTTCTGCTGTTTCAAAATTGAGAGGCTAATCTAGTTGCCACACTTAAGCTGTGTGGCAAGCAATGTGTGAGCAAAGTGTGGCAGGCTATTGGTCTGATGGTTTTTATCTTAAAAACAACCCTTCCCCCGCCAGGTAAAACCTTTGACAGCCAGTGCAATTCAGTAATTAAGATATGATGGCTTCTATTTTTAGGATGACCAGATTATTAACTGGCTCTCTGAATTCCGGTCTTCTGTTACGTTTTTGACCAAGGAGTTTGAACAACTAATTTCCATCCTGTTGGTAAGAATCCTCTGGTTACACTGGAGGCGCTTCTTGCTTTTTGATTTGGGGGACACAACAGGCGCGCCAACTTCTGATCCTGTTGTCTCTAAAAACGCAGAAAGTGCCCTGGTTGAGGAGAAGTCAGCCTGTGGTGGAAGAGTATCTAGCTTTCCTGAGTAACTTAGTGTCTGCTCAGACAATCTATCTTAGGCCATGCCTGGCGATGATCGTCTCACACTTTGTGCCACGTAAGTAATTTTTTTCCCCAGTTTTACTGAAAGAAATAGAAGATGAAATATTTTAAAAGCCAAGGGGAAAAATGAACCCTCCATCCCAAAGGGCACAGCTACCCAACTGAAAAAACAAAAACTAGAAACAGAAAACAGAAAGACTCTCTGTATACATCACCTAAGATAGAATGAATCTACTTTGGAGGAGGGAAAAATGATGCTTCAGTGTTAACCCAAAAATAAATAAACAAAATCTGTCTTACAAAAAAAACCCTACTGATTGGTAGATAAAATTGCCTTTTTGCCCAGAGAAATAATAGCAGCTGGAGTTTAATAATAATAATAATAATAATAATAATAATAATAATAATAATAATAATAATAATAATAATAATGATAAAGTTGGAAGGGACCTTGGAGGTCATCTAGTCCAACCCCCTGCTCAGGCAGGAAACCCTATACCATTTCAGACAAATGGCTGTCCAGTTTCTTCTTAAAAACTTCCAGTGTTGGTGCATTCACCGCTTCTGGAGGCAGATTGTTCCACTGGTTAATTATTCTAACTGTCAGAAAATTCCTCCTTAATTCCAGGTTGCTTTTCTCCTTGATTACGTTCTATCCGTTGCTTCTTGTCCTGCCTTCAGGCGCTTTGGAGAATAGCTTGACTCCCTCTTCTTTGGGGCAATCCCTGAGATACTGGAAGACTGCTATCATGTCCCCCCTCGTCCTTCTCTTCATTAAACTAGACATACCCAATTCCAGCAACCGTTCCTTATATGTTTTAGCCTCCAGTCCCCTAATCATCTTTGTTGCTCATTGTTGAGTTTAGAATTAATAATAGGAATTAAAAGCAAGGAAATTTGGATTCAAGCCTGGGTTTACAGCCCCCTAAGGCTCTGTGGGAGACTGCTGTAAACCTGTTAAGGAAAGCTGTGTTTCTTACTGATTGATTATAAAATGTTCTGCAAGATTTTTTGGTGATGAACAAGATCACTATTTACAAGCCTCTCTGTTTCTATCCAGCCCGAATAACCATCCGGGAAAATGACGTGGACATCTCTGATTCAGACGACGATGAAAGTGAGTTCTTCCGGTTTTTTTTGTATTTATTGGTTGACTCTTTTATCCGTACTCTGCCCATTTTGTATATTATTTTTATTGCTAGTTGTGTTTGTGTAGCAAGGGAGTGTTAACTTGATTCGGTGTGGTTGTTCTGTCCCAGCCTACTTGAGTCCTTGTTATGCTCACAAGGAGAAACCCCTCTTCCAAGAAACAGGCAGGGACCGCAAGAAAAAACTAACCCCTTTTATTCTCACAGACCTGAGTCAGTGTCCAAGGCAAACAAAACACAGTTCACAGAAACTCAATCCTTAACACGAATGGCTGCCTTTGGCCACCAGCACCTCCCACAATATAGTAGCAACAAAAATGCACTCAAAATTGGAAGGTCTTGACCACGCCTAAAATAGAAGCCTGCTTGTATCCATGATCTTTCTGGGTTAACAGATGTGTTGTTTTTCAATCTCTGCAGATGTTGTCGAGAGCTTCACCACCTGCCACAGAGCTTTACAGACAATTGTGAAATATGTCCCTTTGTAAGTTAAATATCTTTGATTTTTTTTCTGGGCTGGAGAAGACATTGTCTAACACAAACTGCTTATTTGTTGCCCAGAGAGAGGGGAAATATTGGCAGAACCTAGGGGCGGAGTGAAAAGGGGGATCAGCCTAGAATCCCTACGTAGTCACAACCCTCTTGAGTGACGTTGGCCCTTATCTGATTCTAAGCTGATGCCAACCATTAATCAAGGAGATTCCTATGCATAGGCCTTTAGCAGTGAATCAGTTTTTCAGTGTTTCTCAACCTTGACAATTTTAAGGCATGTGGACTTCAACTCCCAATGCTGGCTGTGGAATTCTGGGAATTGAAGTCCACATGCCTTAAAATTGTCAAGGTTGAGAAACACTGGTTTAATTGAATCTTCACATGTGGACCTAGTCTTTTCACTTACATGGCTCCATCCAACCAGGATTCCAGAAATTATCAGCCATCTCCTGCCATGTGTTAAATTGGGAAAGATATGTATATCCCACCTTACAAACATATTACAGTTAAAAAGCAAAACCCTGACCTCTCACCCTAAACCCAGCCCTATTCCTAACAGGTGATAAGGCCTCATCCTATCCAGTGTTAAGTCCCTGCCACTCCATGTTACATCTTCAAAGTGAATGTTTATTATTTTCTGACCTATTGTTAAACAATTTTCTATGGCTGCCCAGCTCTCACACAGATGACTCTGGTCAGCTTTTACAATATTAAAAATCCACAACATAAAAACCCATAACCCCCACCCTACCTCTTGGCAGCAGCAATGGGGTCAAGTCACCAAATCATCATCAAATCGCTCTTCTAGACTTATGTTGCATTCTTAAACATTGTACTCGTCACGGCAAAATGAATGAAGGCTGGGTTTGCTTATCTGTTGCTTATATTTTCTGCGTTGTAGGACACCACAATTTCTGATGCCAGTGCTGGCTGAAAAATTTCCCTTTATTAATAAATCAGAAAGAACTTTAGTAAGTACCTGATTTTCTGCCAATGAGGGTTCTTTAGTGCTTTTGGTGTCTGCTGTTCATTTAATTGAAAGATCTCTTGAAAATCTATGATTGGATCTCGATGGCTCAGAAACACCCTGAAGGGTCATCATGATTGTTCCTCCAGAGGAAGTTTTCTTCTCCTTTGGACATTTAATGGTTGGTTTTGTTTATCTTTGCTAAGCCCAACATGTTTCCTTCAGTTTTCCTGTTCTCTAGAAGTGTCATGATTTTAATTTGTACATCATGGCTTATGACATACCATTATATGTAAAATAAAGAAATTGCAACTTACTAAACCATAAATAAATCAATTAAGTATGAACCCAGTCTTGCTTTCTCGGATAAAATACCTCCAATAGGCATACTGTTGGGTCCGAGCAGTATGATTAAAAACTGGATTTTAAAAAAAGGCTGTTTAAATCTGTGATGATTCTAACATTGGATGTAAAAATTGGAAGGTCCTGAAATTTATTTCTCTTAATCTAATTCTTTGTATAGTGTTTTCATGGGGAACTCTTTCATTTCAGCAATGTTACCTCCATAATATACTGCGAATAAGCGTATATATCCCAGCATTGAGGCATGACATTTTGGAGCTGGTTGTTGAGAAGCTGCTAAAAATAGATGTAAGTATAGAATGCTGTAAATTGGGGGTTTTATACAGAGTCTCTGTAGTTCCCTTGTGAAAACAGTTTTAACTTCACAAACTTCATATTCTTCAGCAAGTGATGCTGATACGTATGTATTTACTAAACTGTTGGGCAGTAAGATAAGAGAACGAATATGCTTGTTATACATTGACAAAGCCGAATATTTGTAGATCAGGGTTGAAATGAGGGGTCCTTGGTGCTGTCTGAGCTTGGTGGTTTTCTTGCAGACGTTTCATTACCCAAACTAGGTAACATCATCAGTGCTAGAGGAGTGAGGAACCTAGAGCAAAGCTCACTCCTTCTAGCACTGATGATGTTACCTAGTTGGGTAATGAAATGTCTGCAAGAAAACAACCAAGCTCAGAGAGCACCAAGGACCCCACAATTCTCCTCCTCCTCCTCCTCCTCCTCCTCCTCCTCCTCCTCCTCCTCCTCCTCCTCCTCCTCTTGTCCACAAACCCCACTCTTTCCTAGTACTGATGATGTTACCTAGTTGGGTAATGAAACGTCTGCGAGAAAACAACCAAGCTCAGAGCACCAAGGACCCCACAATTCTCCTCCTCCTCCTCCTCCTGCTGCTGCTGCTGCTGTCCACAAACCCCACTCTTTCCTAGTACTGATGATGTTACCTAGTTGGGTAATGAAACGTCTGTGAGAAAACAACCAAGCTCAGAGAGCACCAAAGTCCCTTCACTTATTATACAGTTCTATACCTTGACTATAACTTCGAAAATACTCAAGCCCGTCCCATTTTAATTCAACAGGTAAGTGCTCCAAGAAAAGATATTGAAGCTGCCGAAGAAGATGAAGAGGGAAACAGTGAGAAAGGACTCTTCAATATGGTAAGCTTGCTCATTAAACAATATTGATAGACACACACACACACACACACTTGGGACACTAACGGTTTCAAGTGTGAAAAAACAGTCATGAGGGCCGTTCTCACTTTGAACCGTCACTAAACGAACTGTTGTAAGTCGAGGACTATCTATTTAGCCGGGTTTTGGTTTTTAACAGGATGAAGATGGAGAGAATCTGGAGAAGAGTGACATCATGGCTCACCCCATTGCGGAACGCCTTGACATCTTGATGAGTGTGATGTTTTCCTACATTAAAGATGTGTGCTACGTTAATGGTAATAAAACCTGGGGGAGTTTCCCAGCATTGTTTGGCAGCAGGAAGCCCACATAGTTGAGCTGAGCATAGTTGAGCCAGGGCTGGCTGAGGAATTCTGGGAGTTGAAGTCCACAAGTCTTAAAGTTGCCACGTTTGAATTCCCCTGCTTTAGTTCCACGACTTCTGTTCCTCTTCAGCCACTTCGAATTCTTCGAATTAAGAACAGTCATTCTTCCCAGCTTCATGCTTTTCGAAGGAAGCGCCTTTTGGCGTATTAATGATAAAACGTTCAGCCTCTGAAAGTTGGGCAAACTTAGCATCCTGTTTAAAAGCTCCTTGTTTGTCTTAGCGTATAATTCTAGGAACATAAATCTTTTTATTCCTAAGGGAAAATTGAGGTTGGCAACACCAAAGACTTATACCGAGATCTGGTGGCTGTATTTGATAAGCTGATTTTAACAACCCATGGATCGTGTCACGTGCAGTTCATCATGTTCTATCTCTCTAGTTTCAGACTGGTAAGTGGTCAAACTTTTATTCCCTTCTTATGTTTTTTCCTCCCTCTTAACTGGATATTCTTGTCCTTTATTCCAAGGAAACTTGAAAAAACTTACCAAGTTACCTCCTGTATCCTACAGGTAATCGCAGAAGCTTTCGTGGAACATCTCTGGAAAAAGCTACAGAACCCAAATGTTCCCGCTGTCATCCGGCAAACCACCGGGAACTACATTGGCAGCTTTTTGGCACGGGCCAATTTTATTCCCATTGTGTAAGTAGTTCACAAGAGCGATCCTTGGACAGATGAATCTGTCAAGTAGGGCTGCATCCAAAAGAGTAGATTATATCCTTGTAGAACCTTAGGAAGAAGGCTAAGGCTGAGAGGCAGTCTGAATTTCTAAGACTGGGTCTTCAATCTTGCCATTCCTAATCCATTCCTAATCCTTCAGGTTACTTAGCCAGGTTCTTTTTTTGTTTTTTAATCATTTCAGGACAGTGAAAGCCTGCCTAGATCTCCTGGTCAGCTGGCTGCACACCTACATCGACAACCAGGGCACAGGGTCCCGAGCATTTTGCGACGTTGCACTCCATGGTCCGTTCTACGCAGCCTGCCAGGCTGTGTTCTACATAGTCATCTTTCGCCACAAGCAGATCCTGGATGGAAACCTCAAGAAAGGTGAGCAGAAATTCACCAGACAAGGAGAACAGGTGGGCAGAAAATCTCTGTGTCTGGTCTAGATGTCGGAGAAGGACAGGCAGAGCCTGCGGGTGGAGTCAAGAGAGGAATCAGCCTAGAGTCATTACATTCCCACAAACCGTCCACTTTTTTCACTGCTGGTTCAAGCTTTTTTCAGCGCTTTTGTAACTTCAAAAAGTCACTAAACAAATGGTTGTAAATCAAGGACTATCTGCATGCATTGTTCACCTTGATCCACTAAGGATCTGCTAAGCCATGTTTCCCAGAGAATAGTGTATTTTAGAAACCTCTGCAACGTCAGAATAATTTAGATGTGTTCCTCTTAGAATTAAATTTTGTAAAATGTAGCACTGCATAGAAAGCTCAGACTCAATGTAGTGAATTCCTCTGGTCTTCTGTTTACAAGGTTTGGCCTACCTACAACACTTAAACTTTGAGCGCATTGTTCTGTGTCAGCTAAATCCCCTGAAGGTCTGTCTGCCAACCATTGTGAGTCTCTTTGCGGCCCTTACCAGGTACAATTGTTTTATTTATTTACTTACTTACATCAACAATCTCTAAAAATTTGGAGTGTGTTATAGAGGGACTCTGTCCATTTATTGCATGCATATAGAAACGGGGTGATAGTGGGGATGCATTTTTTTTCCTTCTTTCGTCCGTGTTTTAAATCAGTCTCAGGCAGGGGTGTCCAGCCTTGGCAACTTTAAGACCTGTGGACTTCAACTCCCAGAATTCTCCAGCCAGCCATGGGGATTTCTGGGAGTTTGAAGTCCACAAATCTTAAAAGTTGCCAAGGTCGAACATCCTTGGTCTAAGGCATTTCTTGAATGCAAAAATGTAGAGATATCTCTTCTGCAGCTCCTGCTGTTGCTCAAACAGATAAAGGATTTGATGCATCCAGAAATGTTTATTACCCTGTCGAAACAAATGGGAGGAGGGGGAGAAGATCCAGATCTTGGGCCTACTCCATTTCCACGTTCCTAGCCCAGCCAGTGGAAGGCTAGCAACCTCATATTTCCTTCTCTGAACCTGGAGGAAGGGGAAGATAACTTGTTTGAGATGGAAAAACGTTTCTGTTTCATGGCAGAAATTCCACCCTTGTTTCACTGACATCCTGGGGTTCTTTTCCCAAGCGTTTCAGACCTTGTTATCAGCAAAAGGAGGAAAGCTAAGGAAAGAGAAAATAGTAGCTCTTGATATTGTCTCTTTACTAACCCCGAAGAAGGCAGCTAATACTGGAATGAGGAAAGAGAAGCTGCCAAGGAACCAAGGGTAACGAGGTGTCCATACCTTGCCTTCAGAAGCTCTTCTGTGAAATGGGTTGATGGGTTGTTTGTGAATTTTTTTTTAAGAAAACTCAATTTTTCTCCTTTCCTCTTTTTCCTTCTCCTTCTAGGAAGTACCAGGTGGCCTTCTGTGACACCATCATTGAGAGAAACCGGAGACAAATATTGCCAGTTGTCCGAAGCAGCTGTGGGGGAGAGTCTGTTGAGACAGTCACAAACCCCCTTGACAGTTTTTTCCCGTTCGATCCTTACATCCTTAAAAGGTACTATACTGATCCTGAGTTAAAACGCCTTTGTAAATCAGATCAGATAGATAAACTCAATAGGAATAATTTCACAAGAAAAACATATTTAATCAGAAAGATTATTTGCATTCATGACGGTTGCCTCTGATAATACATCTTTGTCCATCCCTATAGGCGAAAGAATGATGCTCTTTCTCCATAGCATCTTTATAGTGTTAAAGCATGGTCATCTGGTGACATCTGATGGCCCATGCTTCTCTCAGACAAAGACATTCCAAACAGTCTCCCAATGCCCTTTAGAAACTCCTCCCACTGACCCATTAACATGGGATGACTGACTAGCTAAACTACATTTCCCATAAGCCATCTCTTAAGGAGACAGCACTTAACTCAATAAATGCCAGATATTCTAACATACAGATACATGCTCGCTAGTTAGGGTTACATAGAGTTATACGATTCAGAACAGGTACCTTGTTGAGAAGTAGGTAACCCTCAGCTGAAACATGCCTTTTTTTTTTTCTTTTCAATTCCGGCGGGCAAGCTGTAATATTTTTCCCTGTGTGTCTCGTTTCCTGCCTTCCAGACACACCGGATATTCACTGTCAGTAGTCATTGCCAATGGCTCTGCTGGCTAGGGATCATGGGAATTGAAGTCCATCATGTCTGGAAAGGGTCAGGTAGTGAAATGCTGATCTATCTACTTTGAAAAGTTCAAGACGACTCAATTTTGCCCACGTGATATACGTAAAAAAGAGATCGTGCTTTTATCAGTTGTGTAAGGTTATAAGAAGAGCAAAAATGACAGGCGGTGGTGACTTCTGAATGTTTATACAGCAAAATATTTAGCAATGCTTTATTATATTTTGAAATATACAGCCCATCTCCTAACTGACCTTCGCGGTTGCTGTATTTTTATACCAGTTGAGATCCCTAGTCTAGAGCGAACAAATGGAAGACTGTTTCTCCTCATAAGTTGTGTATTTTCAACTCTACAGCTCCTGTTAAGCAACACCTCGTGTTTTGTCTTTCCCTCTTCTGCCCTCTTCCTTATCCCCTCTTTCTCGTGTGCGTTACAGGTCAAAGAACACAATCAATCCTTTGTATCAGTTTTGGGAAGAGCAGAGTGCCGAGGACCTCAAAGAGACCGCAGAACCCACCACTGAGGTGAGCAGTTTCATTCAAGCTCCATCAGCACGTTTCCTTGTGAAGGATGTTTGCTTTTCCCTGGAGCTGGGAAGTTTGCTAATTCCGGCATATCGGGGAGGTTTTCAGTTGAAGGAGGTCATCTTAGATCAGCGGCGAGGAACCTGCAAGTTCCAGACGTTGTGTGAACGCCAGCATCTCACCATCCTTCAACACTGGCCCTACCAAGAAGGTGGTTCAGCAAAATCCAGGAGAGAGAAAAATAATGAAAAACAAATTGGAAAGTGGTTGTGTTTTCTTCCTTTAAAGCAGTGTTTCTCAACCTTGACCATTTTAAGGCATGTGGACTTCAACTCCCAGAATTCCACAGCCAGCATTGCTGGCTGTGGAATTCTGGGAGTTGAAGTCCACATGCCTTAAAATGGTCAAGGTTGAGAAACACTGCTTTAAAGCGACCTTTCCGACCTTGGCCATTTGAAGACGTGTGGACTCGAACGCCCAGAATTGTGGAAGTTGAAAGTCCACACATTATCAAAATGGCCGAATTTGGGAGGTACTGCTGCTTTAAGCCATCCTATAGCCATTTTCTTTTTCTCTTGAACTGTTGTGTGTTTTTGCGCAGGGCAAAGGGGAAGAGGAGGACGATTTCTTGAGGGGGGAAACTCCTCAGAACGATGGCCTGATCAGCGTGACGCCAAGCTCCTTCAACGCTCTTGTTCAGAATTCAGAAGCCAACCTCGGATCGCCCCCAGTTGAACTGCAGTTGCACCTCTGATCTTTTGACAACCACAGTTAGCGATGACATTTATATTTGAGAGACCCTCGGCAGGAGGTTTCTAAATTCCTCATTTATTGGCAATAATTCAGAGATCAAAACTGAACGTTTGCCTCCCGGACAGGATGATACGTTAAACTTTTTGTACTTATTTACTGCAAAAAGCCTTTCACATTCATTTTTGTTTTTCTTTTGTATTTTCCTGTTTTAGGGCAGATCCCCTAAGATTAAACACAGGATTGTGATGCAGAGAATGATAGCGTATGGATTAAAAAGGCCCCCCAAAATGCTACAGTTTCCAAAGCAAACTTGCTAATCAGAACACAGAGATCTGCTTCTTTGGGTTAAAAAAAAAAAAGAGGCCTACTTTGAAGAGAGCTTTTACAAGATTCCTCCTTAATCCGAGAACAATGATAAGAGTGTCGAAAGTTATGCCAAAACAATTTGAGAGCTTCATATTCACGGAAGTTGCATAAAATGAGACTTGTGCTTATTCTGATTTCGTTGCTGAAGTTGCCTATGTCAGAAGGACAGGAGAGTACCTGCTTTGCTTTGTATACAAACATACTGGCAGGACAACTGACCACCAAAACCATCATCCAGTGGTCCGTGCCACTGAACAGAAAAGAAGTCAGCCAGCTGAAGTATTTAGCCAGCCATGTGGCACACCACTAAAACCTTGCTGTTATCCCACAGCTGCTACCAGGAGTGATACTCCCTCAGCTTAGAGCCAGCCCTAACTCTGTTGTTTAGCCTACCGACTCTAAAGTTTTAGCTTCAGTAGTGTGTGTGGTTTGTCGTGAAAAAAAATCACAGAAAGAGGACTTGCCAAGATTGAAATATCGATAGACAGCCTGTTCGCCCGTTCCGCCAAATTCCAGCAATTCAGATTTCAAATGATGGCTTTTGGGAGCTGTTTTCCGGCATTATGGAAGTATATCTCCAAAGACAGGTAACGATGTAGTTCCCAAACACTGGCTTGCAAGCCCCTAGATGGGACAGAAGTAAATCTGAGGCAGGAGGGAGACACAAATTGCTAAGCAGAATATTTTTAAGATCTCACTCATACTTTGTCTAGATAAGCTGATAATAACTGGGCACGGAGTAAAGTGGCAGCTTTGTACCCAAAGCTGGATCACTGTCTTCAGATTGCAACTCCCATTCTGCCTGGGCAGACCAAAAAGCAAAATGTACAATTTCTGCTATTTAAAAAAAAAAATAGACCAATGTGGAGCATGAAGCAAGAGTGGTCATCTCAAAAAAGGAAACCTACATCTCGGGAATCATGCAAGCAAATAATGCTTTTCATTAAAATAAATAAATTAAGGTTTTGTTTCATTTCTAATGAAAATGTTTCATTTGACAAAGCTTGAAGATTATGTCATTATAGAGATTAAACATTATTTATTAAAAGGGAATGTTTTTTCTTTGCTTTGCTCAACCATTACCTCTCTGAAATTATTAGCATACAAATCTATTTCTTAGTTTAGGGCAATGGTGTCGAACCTATGGCACGGGAGCCAGAGGCGGCACTCAGAGCCCTCTCGGTGGGCACGCGCGCCATCGCCCCAGTCCTAGGCCTTCAGCTGGGTTTTATAAAACCTTTTCGCTTTAGGCCTTTGTCGCCATGTGCAAAAAAAAAAAAAGGTTCAATCAATCAATTTCAACTTCTTGTGGGGAAAAAAAAGATCTTGCAAAGTTGGAATTGATTGATTGAACTTTTTAGTCCCACCCAGTCTACCGTTACCACTGCAGCCACGCCCACCCAATGGGCCACACCCACTCGGGACCAGACGATGCATAAGTGGGTTTTGGGTTGCAGTTTGGGCACTCGGTCTCTAAAAGGTTCGCCATCACTGGTTTAGGGGATTTCTTGAGTTTTCTAACGAGCGACTTCTTGGCCTTTTGCTTATGTGGGAATCGGTCTCTCAAAAAGTCCAAATTCAACTCTGAATTAGAAATGTTGCATTGCTGCTTATTCACAGAATTTCCACTCATCTTGGGTTGCAATAAAGACGGTCATTTTTCTGCAGCGGATTTTCTAAAACATCTGGGAGGATCTCAAGAGGAAGGTTGATCTGCTTAAGAGATGACCATCCACAATGGTTTGCCCTAGAGCGGATCCTTCTTAGTTTCTTTCTGAAATATGGCTGAGAAACTTTGAGTCGGAAAGCCAACTTGGTAGAAAGGTTAAAGTGTCAGCCTAGAAACTAAGAGACTGTGAGATGTAGTATTAGGCATGAAAGCCAGCTGGGTGCCTGGCTCAGTTCCTCCGTCTCTCAGCCCAAGCCACCTCAGCATCGTTGAGGGGAGAGTAGGAGGAAGAAGGTGTATTATATATGTTCCCTGCCTTGAATTGTGTATATAAAAGGGATAGTAAAAAAAAAATAAGAGACACTTCCCATTTTCCCCCTAGTGGTAAGGGGTGGTAAAACCTGCACAGATCAAATAGCAGGAAGTTGTCTATTAAATGCACAAGAGCCCCAATAGGTTAAAGCAGTGTTTCTCAACCTTGACAATTTTAAGGCTGTGGAATTCTGGGAGTTGAAGTCCACCTGCCTTAAAATTGTCAAGGTTGAGAAACACTGGGTTAAAGGGATGAAACTTTTGCCTTTGCAATTTTTTTTATGACTCACTGGCACTGGGTTGTTTGCACTCCTTAAGTTAAAGAGAGTATGTACAACTCAATTCAGTGAAGAACAAGCAACTTCACAATATCCTTCACTAGCAAAGTCGGGCACATACAGGGTAAAGAATATAGAAAGGAAACAAAGTTCCCGCTTAGAGGATCCTTTTGCAAAAACCTATTTGCACATTTGAAACAAAAATATCCCAAAATCACCCTGTGTAAGCATCCGAATATGATCTACGGGATTACCAATTTCTGTGCTTTTTAAGAACGAGACCTTAAAACAGATTTATCGGGACTTTTTCAAAGGGCTCCTTGCCCCTTTAAGGGAAAAAGGTTCTTCCTGTATAATTAACTTCACCTTCTTACCTTCACAGCTCTTAACCAGAGTTGTCTTTGCTGCATTGAAAAAGTGAGTCGGAATGCTTTCCTTAGAAAGTTTGAAATGAATTTGATTTTGTCCTACTGTGTTCTACAACGTTCTACTGTTTTTGTCACTCCCAACAAGCAGTCAATAAGTGTTGAGGGACAGCTACTACATTGGTCTCCTCTGAAGACTTGCATTGGGCAATGTAGAATTAGGAAGGAGAGGAACTCTAGGTGAACAAGCCATGTTTGGCTTAAGTTGCGGTTGTGTGAATGAGCTACATGCTTTTATAACCCGCGCTCATTAGCTCCAGGCAATGAAGCTAGCATTTACTTTCTCTTGATCACCCTCAAGACAAGATGAATGTTATCAGCTATTAAAGTAATAAAGACCCCATTGGCTCTGCCAAATGAATGAGGTAATAATGAAGCTTTCATATTTTAAGGTGTGCAAAGATTTAAGATGGACAAAAAGTAGACAAGCAAAACAAGCAGAGACTGCACTCTCATTTGGACAGACTTCATGATGAACAGTTTTAGGATAATGAATCTTTATAAGTCTGCACTTTTGATTAACAACTAAGGTTGTTTCTTAAAACCAGGGTTTCATGAATTAAATCGGTTATTCAAAGTAAGTGCATTGGCCTCAATGGAGCCTGGTTCCTACTAAATTTAATTAAGTCTGATTAGGATTAGAATAGAATAGAGCTGGAAGGGACCTTGGAGATCTTCTAGTCCAGCCCCCTGCTCAAGCAGGAGAACCTATACCATCAGGTGACTGTCTAGCCTCTTCTTAAAAACCTCCAGTGATGGAGCGCCCACGACTTCTGGTGGCAAGCTGTTCCACTGGTTAATTGTCCTCGCTGTCAGGAAGTTTCTCCTTAATTCCAGGTTGCTTCTCTCTTTGACCAGTTTCCAACCATTGTTTCTTGTCCTGCCTTTAGGTGCTTTGGAGAATAGGTAGACCTCCTCTTCTTTGTCCCCCCCTCAATCCATAATCTGAATATGCCTTTTGCTAGTGTCTTCTTTTATGCACATTTTAACTAGCATATTAACTAGTCAACTAGTTTTCTACTCCTTTGAGTAGAAATTACGGGGAAACAAGTTCAGTATGCATCAATATTTTACCAGGAACTTGCTTGGGAATTTAGCTACCGAGGGCATCCTGGTTTATTACCTGTATTTCAAATTGTCCCTGTAGTCCTTTTGGGAAAATAAAGAGTTTTTGCAGAAGAGACAAAGGGATTGGACCCTGATTGTGTTGCCCTCTAGCAATCTGATGGGAATGGGTAATTTGCAATGGTTTCAGGCAGCACCCCCAAATTCTCTGGGTTGTTAGCAAAACGAAAATCTTGCTTGCACCAGGAGGTCTTGGGTGTAAGGAAGAAGGCAGCCCAGCTTAAGCCTGCATGTCAGTTTCTGCTTATCCCTGACACTGTGTTTTTAATAACTGCAGACAGGTAAACCGTTAACATTGGGTGGAGAAGGACATCCCTACCTGGAGTTAGCTCAGGTTACTGAAGAAGAGCAGCCATGCTCCCCACTTCCCCTTTAGGAATAATAATAATAATAATAATAATAATAATAATAATAATAATAATAATAATAATAATAATAATAATAATATTAAAGTTGGAAGGGACCTTGGAGGTCATCGAGTCCACCCCCCTGCTCAGGCAGGAAACCCTATACCATTTCGGACAAATGGCTGTCCAGTCTCTTCTTAAAAACTTCCAGTGTTGGAGCATTCACCGCTTCTGGAGGCAGGTTGTTCCACTGGTTAATTGTTCTAATTGTCAGGAAGTTTCTCCTTAGTTCTAGGTTGCTTCTCTCCTTGATGAGTTTCCATCCGTTGCTTCTTGTCCTGCCTTCACGCGCCTTGGAGAATAGCTTCCTTGAGGCAAGTAGGCTCTCCAGCCAGTGTCTGTCCTCCTCTTTCAGGACTCATTGAAACAACTTCTTGAGATGTTGCCGTCTTCTTGGGAGCCCCAAAATATCACCGCAGGCTGTTTGCCCTTTGAAAGCTATTTCTCCTTCGCAGGAATCCCAGGTGAGTTTTGAGAAGCAAACCCACTCAGAAGCAAAGCACTCAAACAGAACCACAATGGAAGTCTTATAATTGAAATTACTCCCCCCCATTGAAGTTGCTGGCAGCGCAGAAAGTTCCTTCTTACGTCTGAAGCTACGTTGATACGTAGCCTGGCTACAGAGCTACTCCCCCTTCCAACTTTGTGTAAGATCTTGAGTCATAAACTAACCAAGTGGATTATCTTGACCTGCTGAACTCACACAAAAATAACTCCTCGTGGTTTTTAACCAAACTTGTCCATTTGCAACTGCTAGGCCCTTGACTGATCTGGCTAGTATTTCTATCTGCAGAAGTTCTAAAAAGGCTTCATTTGCATCATATACCTGCAGATATTTTTGCTGAACTTCACAGACCTGGAAGGCATCCCCTCAAAACGATCTTAATTCAAAAGCTTACGGCAGTCTCTTTGTTTGCAGACCCAGAAACTCCGAAATTAACAACAGACAAGCCACAGGTAGATGCCATGTATTTAGGAGACCCCTTGCAAGGAGCATCAACTGGAGTCAACGTGCTGAACATGTAAGTGACGTCATCAGCCTCCACTTCACTGGTTGGAGATTGAAATAATGGAGGATATTGGGAGATGTCACCTAGGGTGATGCTTTGCGCGTGTGATGTCCTAGGTTGAGTCCAGAGAAGATGGAGAACACTTTGTGAAATGCTGGAGAACTCCTTAGTCACTTACTTATTGGGATCGAACAGTGCAAACTACGTTTTAACTATAGCTTGTTAAACAATGGGAAAGGTGGTGAACGTCAACAAGATAAGCTTGAGATTCTAGTTGATGACAAATGTCCTGTCTTCATTGACCCAGGTTTACCCAGCCCAGAGACATTCAGAAACTTCAGAGGAGGACCATACCAAGAAAGATGCGTTGGACCCCAAATAATACGCTTGTCTTGGAAATGGTAAAGCTCTTCAAACCTGTTACTTCTCCAATAGTTGAAGGAAATCAGCTACTTCCCTTCAACCTTCTTTTAGGGTTATGTCCATTGCATGTGACCAATTCTAAAAACTGACTTGAGTTGAGATACTTTGAGATCCAGGATTTGAGATAACTTCTTTTAAACAAAGTACAATTAGAATCCTTCATTTTGAAGGTGACGTAATACGATTATCTCCACAAACCTTGCTTTGGACTCGTTCCATGGGAAATACGTAGAGTTTCTGGATTCACTCCAGGTTTATAGCTCTTCTCCCCAGTTTCACCTGCATTTTGCCGGTCAATTCTTCCTCTTCATTTGAAGACCGAAGAGATGTTTCATAGCTAGCAAGAAATGACCTAGCAGTTTGTAGAACATCTGCATGAAGTTTGCTGT